GTAGATTAGTTCTTTGTCTAATTAGGAAGGTAAACAGTTTAGAAAAATGGAACATGAAACATGAAAGTCTTAATATAGAAAAAAATTATTAAAAATGTTTAAACATAAGGCCTGTGGAAAGGGACCTTCCAAAATGGAGTATGATTGCTTCGTTAGAATCTCAAGAATGTTGCTTGCTGAATTTGAATTTTTCCACAGGTATAGTTGGTTTTTTTTTTCTGTGTAAAAATAAATAGTGGGAAAATGCAGACAATTTCTGCGCGGAACTGCAGAGGAATATGCCCTGAAGAGCAGACTTTCTTGAGCTCATGCAGAATTCTGCAAATCCCTCCCTGTAGGGGACTGTAATTTTTGGTTGTCTTCCCTGCATGCCATCACATACAGCCTCCCTTGCTCAGTTTGTTAGTTGCTACATGTAACAAATTGTACTTTTTTCTTCCTCTTGTAGCAAAGAAACCCAGGGTCTTCAAACCTGTACTGAGAATATAATCCAACATCCATAGTAATGCTCAGGTTTCTCACTGTCCAAATAAATCGGTACTCTCTGCTAAATAAATGGCTATGCAATGGCCTCTTTCCTGGCAGTCATCGGTGTAAAAGAATCATTCAGGTGCTCTTTTATCAATCTCTCTCGTGCTCTTTCCCCTGTAAGTGCTACTAGCAGGAACTATCCGTAATAGAGTAGATTTCCTCTAGTTAACAATAGTAATTTTTAAAATAATATTTGTGTATTGAAAACATTTAGTCACGAGCTTCAGGGAATAATGCCTCAGAGTCATTTCCTTGTCTTGCTAAGAATAATGATATATTTTATTCAGGAGTGACTGATTGTGCTAAATGCACAGGGTGAAGTGATTGCATCAACTATTATTTGCTCTTACAATCCCCAAAACATCTTATGTTACTACCTCTTACCTTGTAGTCCTCCATATGGAAAATACATGTAAAAAGGAAGTCAATACAATCTGGATTCATTATATGTACAGAATTTTGCTGAACATTTAGTTTGGAGTATTTGTAAATTTGAGAGCTAAATGTTTGAAAGAGTTACCTTACTCCTCCCCCTAAAAGCTGTATTTTCATGCACTGCACGTTCTTACTTGCCTCCCAGCCTCCTAATTGCCCAAATTGTATCACAGGAAGGTGTTAAATTAGATTAGTTACCCTAGATGAGACAGGGATTAGCTAATATGTTTAGTACATAATTACATGGAATTATAGTTTTTGTCTGTTTGGGCCTTTAAGTTTTACTTGAAAGTGTAGTTTTGAATAAAACCAAATCCATAGCATGCACGATAGTGGAAATGCTCAAACTTTATCTGGTTTTGAGCTGAAAAATATATGACAAATATGCCTGTTCACATGCCTGTAGACCAAATTGTTTCATGGCTCCACTCAGGTTTGTCCCAAACAGCTTCCTTCAAATCACTCCCCAGATACATTGCAGAGTGTGAGTGTTGTGTGTGTGAAAATAAATGGTTTGTTAGAATAACTGCAAGTGGAGTTCCCATTGCTGATGAACATATGCAGAGCTGAAATCTCAGATCAAGGGAATCTGAGGGGAATTAATCTTTATTTTCCATCCATGGGATACAAGAGTAAAGCATGCTAATTTTACATTAACAGATCTTTTGATGTGTCTGTTCTGTAAGTGAGAATGAATATGATCATAGAGATTATGTCAAAATAATAAGTATGTCAACATGCAGATGTAACTAACTTCTTCAGAAATGAGAAAAGGAAATTCTCTTCTCCATTCTACTATTCTGACTTCCTTGTCTCTTCATGTTGCTCTTTGACGTACGGGGAATGTAAGAACAAAGTATGTGATGGTATAGAGTGGCTCTGAGGACTTGAAAGTGAGATTGTTTTGTCTGGAATATTTTTCTAATAACTCAAAATATTTTTTTGATAAAATGGTGATTGATTTTAATGCTGTTAGAGTCCCTTTAAGTCTATTAGAATCTATTTATGTAGTATGTGTTGCATTATAAGAACTTGCACCGACATTGAAGACCACAGTAAGACTTTTTTTGTTGTCTTGAAAAGTGCATGCCAAGCCTTTGCTTTGCTGCACAAAAGTAGCGGTTTGGAACTTGCACCGACTCAGTGCATCCTTAGGTATGGATAGCTTCCAGAAGCTGAGCTCTGGACATTTTTTTCTGTTTATGATTCCTGTTGGAGACTATAACTTTTTGATTTAGAGTACAGCTAAAACCTTTAAACAGTCTGGTTGAGAAGCACTGTCTTAGCAATTGTACTGTATTTTACTCTGAATTTTCCTCCCCCTATATTCCCTTCCTCCGTCTCATAACAGCATATAATCTCCAAGCCATTTATATGAGAGTTCATCATAGGAAAGTCTTATGCTGCTGCTGTAGGATGAGCTTTCCTCCAACTAATTTCCTATTTTTCTGCTATAAAACTGCCAGAAGACTTTGGTGAATGGCAGATGGATATTCAATTAAAAACTTTTGTACCAGGAACTTAGAAAATTGCTTCTTAGTAAAAAGCAGAAGAACTTCAGTATGCTGCTTGTTGTCAGTTTGATACCGTGGGTACTGCTCTATTTCTAGGTATCTTTGCCTTCCCTCTGTGTGTCATCAGTGAATATGACTGATCTGCTCAAACAAAATACAACAGATTTTTACTTCCTGCTCGTTCCTCAAATTATTTTAAAGTTGAAGTACAAACCAGAGTAATGTACTATTGGCCTTTCTATGAAGTGTAAAGACTGCCACATTTCATATGTAAAACACTTGTGGCTTGTGATTTTGCATTAGAAATATTAAA